CCCCCCCCTCCAGGGGAGGGAGAATTTTTTTGGAAAAAAGGGGGTTTTTTTTTTTTTTTTTTTTTTTTTTTTTTTTTTTGTTATGAAAAAAGGTTTTTCCGCCTGTGCATCAGTATGCAGGAGACAAGCTTCATGCTGCAGAGAGTCTGTCTTGAAACAATAACAACTCAACTCTCCACAGCGTTATTTAGCCTGACTGTTCATGCCTTTAAGATTGTTAATAGAAATTTGAAGTTTTGACAGGAAACAGAACCAATGTCTCCGTAAAAGTTACAAAAAAACAAATATGACTATTATGTCCATTTGTTCAGAGTTATAATAACCTGTTCGTCACTACGGTGATAGTCGTTGTCCTCCTCTGGCTTCTCCTCTCCGGCCTCCTTATTCCCCGTGTCTTCTGATTTTGTGTCGCCTGTTTGAGAAAAAGAAGAAAAACTATGATAATCTAAAAAAAATAATACATAAACGCAGGTATGAAAAGTACAAACACTACAAATAAGTGCAAAATTTATGAGCCACAGAGTTCTTCAACACATTTCATAATTATCCAGAGTTAAATTACTATATTTTCCATTTTTGTATTTAGTACAAGACGTTCGTAGATATTTTTGAGGTCTGGCTTTAAATACATGAGGTTGATTGATTGATGGATGGATGGATGGATGGATGAAAAATGGACAGATGGCAGAAGGGACAGACAAATGAATAGATGAATGGATGGATGGATGACTGCACAGATTGATGAGAGTCAGCAGGATGACTAAAGGATGGATGAAAAGTTGAAAAAATGGATAAATATGAGGAGGTACAGACAACTAACTGGACGGACGGACAGAAGGAAGGAAGTTCTATCAATCAAATCAATCAAATTTTATTTGTGTAGCACATTTAAGCAGCAAGGCATTTCAAAGTGCTTTACATCATTAAAAACAAAAACCGTCATGTAACATTGAACAAACAAAAAAAAAAAAAAACATTAAAACCTGCACCCCTTTTCTAACGTTTTAGAAACTGGAATAAAAATATCTGGTAAGCTTTTGTGTTTTTACAGTGCACGAGGCGCCGCTCCAACGTTGCAATAACATATTATAAGAAGTTATAAGGCTGATTTTTGTATATGATATGCTGAAATGTACTTTAAGTTTTAATGTAGCCAAGAGATTTCACTTCCTGCATCATATATTTAAATAAATATATAAATATTATTGAGATGGAAAAATGTAAATTGGATGAGTTTTCATTTGCCTGTTTGTTTTTGAGTCTGAATGATGAAGTTACTTTATCTGGTGATGTAAATGTTGCCTCCTCAACCTGACATGACAGATGGCGAACAAACCGTCCGTCTCCAGCTTTTAATACATAATTCATCTGAGCTGAGGGGAAAGCAGACCAGAAAAAGTTCAGTCCAAGTGCGCCGCCTCACAGCTGGAAAGACTCCTCATCCATCTGATAAAAGCTCTACAAACAAGCAGCACCAGCTGATCAACTTAGAGTACACATCTTTTATGAATTTTCCTGTTGTGATATTGTTGCAGTATTGAATTTTTAGCTGTAAAACTTGGTTATCGAAGTCTAAATTGCGTTGCGGTGACAGAACAGCAGCGCAGATGGGTTTTGCTTTCCAGTAACCTTTAGAAACAAAGAAATTCAGTCTGCTCCAGGATTCAGCGGCGGTAATAACTGTGTTTATGTGAGTGTGTGTCTCAGACTGTGGATGCGCTCAGTCCTCTGTGAGTATTTTCCGTCTGGGCCAACTGTCGCCATCCCTCTGTGGAATATTAAGCTTGTCCCGGTGTTTGTCTCCAGCGTTAGCCTCACTTATTGCTCATCAGGAGGGTCTTGCTGTAGTTAAGTCTCATATTGCGCCGCTTCCTGCGTCTTACGCCATGTCTTTTCATCTCCCCTGTTACCGTCAGCAAATGATCTTCTGTCTCTTTTATGATTTATGGGACATCTTCACAACGCTAAAGTCCCACAGGCGTGCACAATGACGTTTTCAGGCTAGCCTGTGAGAGGTGGAGTGAGCCATCTGTGTGTGTTGGCGTGGGAGTTTAGATCGTCGTGAAAGCAAAAGTGTACTCTGCAGACTCGATGCGTCCCCAGGTGACCCAGTCTTCTTGGGTTAAGTGCTCAGAAAAGCTGGTAATTTAGAAAAATGAGTCTGTGTGGCGGTGGAAGCAGCTTTTGTTTTGGCTGGTGTCAAGCAGTCCTCCAGAACTTCATGTTTCCATTCAAGAGCAAACAGATTTAACACGTTAAAGGGGATCTATTATGCGAAAGTCATATTTGACACATTTTTATGCTTCCAGTTGGGTCTCGATAGCTTCTGAAAGTAGCCAAAGTGCTTAAAAAACCCACCTATGGTTTTGGTGTCTGAAAAATTAGTCTCTTCAAAAACCTTTTTATTGTTAAGTCACAATCGACAGGCACTGAGCCATTACCTAGCAACCAAAGCAGAGCGCCAGTACGTTTGGTTTTACTGCTGAACAATGGCTGTTGGAAAGGACAAGTGTTTTGTTGTCGACTTCCTGTTCAGAAACCACTGGCTGAATTGTTGCTGGTTGTGCAGAAGGTTACACTTTTGCTTCTCAAAGATGTACAGTTGTATAATTGTGCATCTATTTGCAGAAATTTTCATGTGCGAGTGCACCAGATGTGAACAGTTGTGGTTTAAAGCTGTGCCCTTTTAACTTTTAAAAATCTTTTTAGTGGCAACAATAAATGTGAAGGCCCTGCAAACTGAATGTAAATACACTGATGAATGAAAAATTAAACATTTTCTGAAGTTGCAGCAAATCAAATCAGGATAATGCAGCAAATATGTATTGACTTTAAAAGAAAATATGTTCTAAACACCCATTAGCTAACTCAAATGTCAGTAATCAGAGCAATTTCTTTCAACCTGCTATGACTTCATGTTCCTCCCAAACACTGAACTCTGAACGACTGAGTAGTTAGAAAAAAGATCTGAAAATTCAACCTAAAATTAACCCAGCGCTGCTAAATCAGATATCGGCCATATTTGCATAAATCTACAGATATTATCATCGCCTGAGGCCGAGGAATAATATTTAAGTTTTAATCTGCTGCATGGAGATGATGCTGGATTAAAGTCCAGAACTTCCTTTGTTTTAATTTCCTTTCTGAATGGGTTTCTCTTCCATCTCGCTTCAGCCGAAAGTGACTTCGAGGAACAGAACCAGAGCAGCTCCTCTCCCATTTGAGCCTTAATTACCAAAATCAGAGAGGGGGATTAAGCGAGCGATTAGGTCTGCCAGCATGACAGCCCTCTGGACACACATTCACACCAACACGCAGCAGAGAGCTGGTTTAGAAAAACGACTGTGCACAAAAACCAAACCATCAACTCACTCTGGTTGGCTAAATTGCCTTCATCTGTACTGTTTAATGGCTTCTGCTGTTCCTCATGGTTGTGCTGTTAATGTTAGTCATTACTGGTTGAGGGGGGTTCATTCTTTACATAGGCTAATAAGAGCAGTGACACACTGCTGAGGTGAAGGCCATTTAAAACCTTTAAACATTAAAACATGTAAAACCTGTATTTTTATTTCTTTGCCCTGGAAAATTAAAGGGATTTTCATACATGCATGAAAGAAGACAACACTTCAGGTGTGCTTCTGATGAGGGGATAACAATGAAACATGTTGATTTTACATAATACTGCCCCTCTAAAATAAACCAGAAGATCTGATCAGTGGCTGCAGTCAGTGATGTAAAAACCTGATATGAATTCAATTTAGTACCACATCTGGACGTGGCTCAAATTGGATTTTTATTTGGGTGAAAAGATCAGAATTGCTCAGTTTAGACTGCATACGGGCCAAAACCATCCGATTTGGGTCGGAGTTGGGATTAGGTCTGAAGTTATTGCAATAAATGATACCATTGTTGTTTTGAGACCATTTTAAAAGAATAATAGTAATGTGGAGAACATATTCTCAAAGATCAATAAACTTTAATTTCTTACAAAGGTTTGACACTGAAAAGACATTTTAAATATCCAAAAGAAAAATAAACAAAACAACAAATAAAATGGATACTGACGCCTCTATAAACAAAATTGACCTTTAATAAAAGGGACTAGATGAGACTTCCCTCATCCGGGCTTTGGTAGAAAGAGAGACAAGAAAAAAAATGCAACAAATTGGTTTATTGATTTATTGTTGCAGGCCTATTGGGACAGTTTGTGAGTTTCTGCCTTTGTCCTCCATTTGTAAGTGTAGATTGGTGATGCATTTCCAAACTAAACAAGTTACCATTTCTGGTCTTGGTGCATTAAGTAAGCAGAAAAATAAGTATCTGAACTGGAAAACCAGCAGTCAGAGCCACTCAGGGGAAAATGGCCTATTTCAATCACTGGCTGCCTGAATGGTACAGCTTATTGTTACCATTTGTTGCTGCTTTTGTATGGAGAGACATTGAAATTGATGAATTTTTCTTGCAACTATAGATTTGGAATAAAAAAATCCAAAATGTTTGAGTGTTTATCAGCCTAAATTGAAAAAAAAAAAAAGCATCTCCTGAATAAACAAACAAAACCTTCAAAACTGGAAACAACCGACTCAATGCCATTGCTGCTTAACAAACAGCAACTGCATGAAACAGTCTCTGCAAAATGGTAGCAGTATTTCTGAAGCCTGTGCATGAAGGGTGTGTTTGTACCATTTCGCTGATCTAGATGAGTCTTCATGTTGCACAGCTCTCCTTTAATGTCCCCAGGCACCTCCATGCCCAACTTCTGATAGAAATCCCTCTGCTTCTTTATCTCCGCTGCACGAGAGGCAAACACGACAAATAAAAGGGGATATCTCAAGTGTCTGATTACATCTGTGCCAAAAGCTGCTCGGGTCTAGAAAACAATCCACAAATGAAGGATGAGCTGTCAAAGTGCGTGCATATTTTAACGATGTAAAACCAGCCAGATGGCGATAAACAACATGGATGAAGCTATAAACCGTTTCTGATGAAAGAGGGTGACTCTTACCCTCTTGAAGTCCCGGTACCAGCTTGTAGACGATGTCTTGCATTGTTCGGTCATGGCTAAAACAGATGAAGGAAACTGTTAGCAAGCCCAACCCAAACAGTTGTACACAAAACATTGATCCAACATGTTCATTTCTACATTTCAGAACCAAAATTATTCAGTCTCTAGTTACAATTTAAGGTACACTGCATTGCAAGATGATTCATTCGCAAAAATTTCGTTGGTATTTAGTTTGATAAACCAACAAAAATTAGTAGATCATTGGGAAGTGGAAGAAAGATTATTTTAAATATTTACAAATATAGTCAGTCCGTAAAAATTTACTTTTCTTTGCCGTTAAAGGAAATGGCAAAGCTCTTTTTATAGCGGCTGTAGCTCAGTCTGACTACATGGAGAGGATCTGTTGGTTCTCAGTTGGACTTTGACTGGGCCATTCTGACACATGAGAATGCACTGCAAAAACACGAAACCTTACCAGGTATTTTGGTCTTGTTATCTTGGTACACTTGAAATGACAAAACTAACTTACATGAAACGTTTTAGCAAGATATAGGAGCTGGTTTTAAATAAATTGTTCCTTTATATTGATAAAAAAAAAAAAAAAAATAACTTCCAGGACATTTTTTCCAGGTTATAAGTGATATAATCTGCCAGTGTAACTAGTCAGTTTCCATCAAAATCATTGATTATTGACTTTTAAAATAGTGCACTAGAAACTAAACTGAAAATACTTTGATTTTGTGTTTTTATAGTGCACAATTTTAAGACAGTTGGATCGGGAATAACATGTGGACATAGATATTTTTCCACATCTAGAAAATAAATCTATTGGATTTCCTGTTTTTGCTCTGAACTTGTCACCTGAACTGGAAGTCCATTAACTCCTCTGAGATTTCTAAGAGGAGAAATGAGAGTAAAAGCACTTCTGATGTAGAGAGCAGGCTTTTATTTTTTGAAACCATATGAAATGACTGCAGCTACAGGCGTCACTCTTCCACCCACCAGTTGATTTATGCAGCATGTCAAACCAAAAATGCTCACTTCTTTGCCCTCCTGCATCTCTGTAAACTCTGGTTCATAAAAAGCACCAAACCTCAAGATGGAAAAATGTCAAATGTGTTGTAACATTGACACTCTCTGAATTTGGTGTGGAGCATATGCTCTTCCCAGTCTGGCTGTGAAGTAGCCTTTTTTTTTTTTCCTGTGCTTGTGACACGGCGGCACAGTGGGGACGGCTCGGGTCTGACGGTGCTTTTTGACACCTGGCTCTGACAGCCGGATAACGGACACGGCGTGTCGAGTTTGCAGCAGAGTTATGGAGGATAGATCCAGAAAACGTGGCATGTTTGTCAACGCTGCGGCACGCTGAGGGTCAAAATAGCTCTGAGCAGCAAAACAGTGACCCCTGCTGGACAAACGGTGGTACTACTTCCAATTTGTTTCTGGTAATTGAAGAATTTACTAGCCGTTTTTCTCGGTTACATTTGGTAATAACTAGATACATTTACTCAATTACATTTATTTAAAGTATTTTACAAAGCTGTACTTTTTACTTTTACTCGAGTAAATTTATTATTAAGTATTTCTACTCTTATTTGAGTAAAATTTCTGGATTCTCTTCCTACTGCATGAAAAGCAAACATGTTTAAACCAAAAAATAATCACCAGACACAGACCTACAGTTTTTGTTAACGTCTCATAAGTTTTATTTAAAAATAAAATTTATTTGGATAAATTTTCTTTTGCCTGATTTTGCTATTTTCTTTGTTACTCATGCGAGTTATTGTACCAAAATTGCACTTAACTTTACATTTTGGTCCGTCTGATTGTGTAATCTTTAAAGATTAAATGATTGATAATCTGATTAGTTACTCAATACTTGAGTAGACTTTTTACCAAATACTTTTTTACTCTCAAGTAATTTCTTGGACGGCTACTTTTCACTTTTACTTGAGTGAAAATAGTTTGAAGTAGTGTTTCTCTTGACTACAATCTACCCACTTCTGGTTATATTGGACTTTTTTGGGCTAAAAAATTTTATCTTCTGTGTTTGAAAAATAGCAGATAAGAAAACGATGATTTCCTAATTCACTTGGAAATTCAGAAAATGTGTAAACAGATTAATTTCTTAAAGAGAGATTCAGATATCCATGTCAAGTTTGATCAATATAAATAAGCCAAAGAGTTTTATTTACCATCTGTTTGACATTTTGGCTTTAAATCACTTGTGATGTTTGTTGTCAAGTCTAATTTCAAGTAAAATTTCCTGTCAAATAATGAACCTGCAGCCATCTCCGTTTATTTGATAACTAAAACGGCGACATTTTGATTCTGCATTAATCACAAAAATAATACTGGGAAATCAATTCAGGGGCTTATTAAACCTTAATTCTACCAAATACTGTTGTCACAAATTCACATTAATAATATTTTTTAATATAAATGTAAATCAGTTGTAATAGGAATCATTAACTAGAATAAATGTGACTTCAAAAGAGCTAGTAATCATAATAACATGAGGTCCAAAACATAGAAATACAACCTCTTTAAAAAAGAGAGAGAAACAAAGTATGGACTAAAAGTAAGTATAATTGTATTAAATTCTATTAATACACATTTATTATCTTTTTTCCTAAATTTGTTCAAAAATAAAAAGCTCAGAAATGTGTTTTTCTGTCTCAGGAGTTTCCATTTCAGAACCGAACAAGACGTTTAGATGTGGATTAGTTTTCCTAAAGCTTCTGAAGCATCTGTGTTGGTTCATTTCCTAAAACATTCTGATTAAAAAACAGAAAACCTCCCAACAAGACAGAAAGAAATGAAACTTATATTCAACAGCAGCGCTGCAACGCCCGTCTTTCTGCACCAGCTGTGCAGCTTTCATCAGAAACTACATCTCTAAAGTCATGAAGGATTATTTTCTTAAAAAGTGCATCGCTGAGGTTTCACCACTAAATGCAGCCATGCATCCAAACAGAAACAGATGAAACTGTTTGTGTTGAAAGTGATTTAAAAAAGGAGGTGAAGTTGACACCCAATCTGATGAAACACTTTTCATTAGAGAAAACTGAGACCATCTCATGTCTTCTGTTTGTCAGATTGAGGGAAAACCACAACAAAAAGCAGAAATTTTAAAAAATGAATCAAATGTTTTTAAATTATACATTTTTAATTATTAGTATCATAAAATTAATTTCAGGAATTTAGTGATTCGTTTCACAAATTGTCTAAAACAAAACTGATGATTTTCCTAGTTTCAAAAATCTTTTAAATTAATCTAACAATTTCTGAGTTTTACTCCTTTTTTCCCTCTAAAACTCTAATATGACATTGTATATTTTGCATGTTTACTGTTTAACGTTTTCAGTTCCTATTGGGCACCAAAGGGTTACTTTATTTTCAGTAATGATAACAGATTTTTGGTCACTTTCTTTCTTTCAAAACACTTGCTATATCAAGTTTAATCAAAAATAAAAGCGAACTGGGTGAAGCAACCTTGGCTTTTCAGAAAAAGACTCACCTTTTTTTAAAACTTGGTTATAAAAAGATAAATACTTTGTAGGAAAATTATATTGGAAATAATTTTATCACAAATTCAAACTCTCAACCTTTGTATAGCTTTTGAATTGGGGCCACACAAAATCAGTCCAAGGGCCATAAAAGGCCCCTGTGCCACACTTTGGACACCCCTGAAATAAATCAAGACACGCATTGAAAGTTTTGGGGATTTAAACCAGGAAAATCTAAGAAAATACCTTAAACTTTGTTGCTGAAATGTCATAAAACATGACAAAAGTAAGCAGAAATAAGTATCTCTAAATTAAAAAGGTAAAAAATGTCCAGCAGGTCAAAAGTTTACAAACAAAAAGCTGAATGTCAGACAGCCAGAGGTTATTTCTGCTGCTCCTGCTGCAGGCATGCAGAGCTGACGCTGAACTGCAGTCGCAGATTACAGATCAGACTAATCAGGGAAATTACATTAGTGTTTCATTAGAATGCAAATCTGCACTCCCCTGGCTCTCTGTGCAAAAGTAATAAAGCTTTAAAAGTTGGGCATTGTGCTGAAGTCTTCCCTCTTTTCTTTTCATTTCTCTTCTAAGCGGTTAGACATTCAATCAATCCGTTAAAACGCTCTTGATCAATAGCCCTCCAAGGCTCCTACGCGCCTTTTCTCCAGTTCTTCTACGTAAATAATCAATAAAATTCAGCACAATTCATCTTGAATTATAAAGTCTATCTAATAGTCCTCTGGGAATGACTTTATTGGAGTTCAATCACTATTTTCTGTCTGCTAAACTGTGTTTTTTTTTTTTTTTTTTTGGTATTTTACATCTAAACAGGAACTAATTTTGTTTTTAAAAGGCAGCTGGTAAAAAGTCAGTTTTATTTGCACAGGGGAGTTCAAAGTGCATTAAATGGTAAAAACAACACAATTACCAATTATAAAATAAGCAATAAACATTAGATTTTGTCAACTGCTATCATCAAATATAATAATCAATGTTCCAGTCGATTGTAATCAAAGGCAGCTCTAAATAAATGTAATCTTAACTTAAAGAATTAAAGAAACAGAAACTGACAAAAACAAAAGGTTGACTTCATAAATGGCAGCAAATCTCCTTTTAAATGGTTCAGAAAGTGCAATTAGTAGTTCTAAATATAAATTAGAATAAATAAGTCAGAGATAAGTCAGAGCAAGAAGCATAGAATTAGACTGAATAGATATGCTCTTATTGATCAGGCACATTATCACGATACCAAATGCAGAATTTGCAGGTCAGACAGAAGTCGCAAAAAAAAAAAGAAAAAAAAAGAAAATTTAAAAATCCGAATTGAGCATTAATTCCTTTTTAAAACAATGACAAAAAGGATATTTTTTTTCTGATTGGTTTGAAAAAAGTGTTCATCCACTCAGCGTGGTTTTAAACATGCTACACCAGTAGGGGGCAGTGGAGAGCAAAACTAAAACCTGACAAGAGAAAAATAAACATCAGCTGTTCATATTGGCTCAATTTTATTTATCGGACCAATATCAATATGTTAAGAAAATGACAAATATCGGCCGACGCCGATGTTAGTGCCGATATATTGTACATCCCTAATATTAAATGGAGGTTACATGTGAATGAAAGGCCAATCGCATGAAAATATATCCGTTTATCAAAAACCTGGATACATGTGGACAACAGGGATGCACCAACTGCAGCTTTTTTACTGATCTCTGAAGAGTCCGACATACTGATTCTGATTTTGGCCAAAACCATTTTTTTTGTTTGTTTGAAAGTCTCTGAGTTGGCAGCAGTGGGTTGACTCTTCTTACTGTGAATGTGCAGAATGACCCGGTGGGCCGATCTACAGTCAAACCTCTCACAGGAGAGGACAGTGGGTGATTTTTAGACCTTTGCTGAGGTAAATAAGAACAGAGGATAAGGTCAGCTATCGGCCGATCACCAACATCACAAGATTAAAGAAATCGGTGCACCTCTAGTGTACAAGGCCTTCGTTGCGTTGGTTACTTAAATAGTTACTGAGTTTGTTAGTTAGTAAAGAAGGAACTCCTGAATGCCACAGGAATCCCTTTTATAAAAGATTACAGTGAAACGCTGGCTGCTTTGAAATAAAACATAACCGAATCACCAGCCGTATGACTCTGGTGTTTTACACACACGGTGTAATATTAACTGCAGAGCACTGAAGTATTTATGTAGAGCGAGGTTGTGAATGAGTTGGGGTTAGATGCATCATCTATTAGAAAAACACACAGAGCGCCTCAGCAGCTCGAGGCCGCTGCGCCTGCAGCAGAGCTGGAATAAAATGGATTCATCGGCTCCTCAGTCCTCGGCAGTTTATCGTGTTAGTGGCGGCGTGCTGCTGATTGCAGACTGTCTGTGTGTGTGTGTGTGTGTGTGTGTGTGTGTGAGTGTGTGTGCTGCTCTGCGGCGGTCCCCCACTCACCCGATGTACTGCAGTGGATGGCTCTGATGAATAACAATCCTACACGTGGGGCACGTGTTGTTCTCCTCCAGATACTTTACAAGGCAGCTTCTGCAGACTGCAGACACACACAGCAGATGAAGCGTTACAACGCAGCGTACATCCTCCATTACACTCCCAGCTTCACTACAACGATGCCTTTCATTTGGTTTCAAAAGTTGCAAACCTCAAACTCGTTCATGGTTCTGAAATTTAACAATTAGCGTGTGTGTATGATTAAAAAAAACTATATACTGCTCCTTTTTTTTAGGCAATTGGTTGTGACTCCATTCAGAGTGCCACAAACACAAATATTGTTCATTCCAACTTCAAACAGACTTCTTCAGGACAAGAATTCAATAAAAAAAAGTGATATACGTCACTAAGCTGCACACAGTTGTGAACTGAGCTGAACTATATAGTCTCTGTAAACAAAACTATCCTTCAAAAAAAGGGATAGTTGAGACCAAAGAACCAGACTGAAGACTTCTTTCATCTAGTTTTTGGCAAAAAAAGAGAAAAGACAAATTATTGAGCTTGTTTTAATTTATCTTATCAATTAATTTGTTGCTTACTGCAACAGGCCTACACGTTACTGCATTTAATCATATTGCAGAATTTACTGCATAACATTTCCAATAATACTTAGTTTTGTGTGAAATTTATCATCATGAAAATGATGAATCAAAAATTCTTATTATGATAAACTCTTCACGATAAATGCACACCTCTACTTTGCACACTTCTGCACGACCAGCAGCTCCAAACAACAACAAGCTACCATCCCAGTGTTTCTTCACTGAATGGTGCATTTTGTGTTGCTCGGGAACATGCAAAGAGTCTCTCCTGCATTAAACACATCAGTGTAAAAGAAAAAACAAAGTCTCAATTAAAAAGAACCAAATGTGCCTTGTTTTATGATTCATCCGGAATCACAAGGCGACTTTGGATCAAGGTACAAATCCCCTCAAATGACATTCAGACTTCAGGGAATTTTGCTTTCAACTACAGCCACCATTTGTTGGATACAATAAACGTATTGTGGAATCCTGCGGTGTAATTTGCGGAGCCCGTTGTGCCGTGAAATCCATCTCTTCTTGACATTTTTATTGCAGCAGAGCAGCTGCGCCGATGACGTGATGCGAATGTCTTTGTTGTCTCGGCTCTCCGATGGTGGAGCCCCCTGTTTTCCACACTGAGAGGCAAAAATCAAAGCCTCACGTCTGGACGCTTCATGTTTGAAGAGGCCAAGAAGGCTCCCATCTGTGGTGACCGGGCGCCCTCTAGTGGAGACAAACAGTACTGAAGCATCTGGGTTTGTTTTGTGAATTTAATCCAGGTTTCTCTGACCTTTACGTTGTTCTTTCGTGTTGCAAATATCATAAATGTTTCCCTTCAAGTGCTACAAGCAGCCTGCAGCTAAAAACAATCCAGAATTCCTGCAGGATAAGTATCAGCTTTGTGTCAGCGCGCTGCTTGCTAAGCTTTCTACACTGGCTCAGCTCTCATGTGAGCAGCTTCAGACGGCAGATGAAATAAACAGGACGCAAACTTGTAAACTCTGTGACCCCACCGGGATCCCTGAATTCAAAAACAAGTTGGTTTCTTTTCAGAGTGAAATGCAGACGGCTTCATCTGAGCAGGAACTAGAAAGAAACTGGATGATTTCATTTAAACCGAGTCTGCAGGCCAGCAGAGGCCCCAATGCAGGAAGTGTTGAGGTGAAAAAACAAAGAGGAAGCTGGCCTTTAAAAATGATTTCACAAAAGAACTGCAACCTATAAAAACATGCACATGAACTAATGAAGGACATGGCAAAGATTTCAAAAGATTTTTAAAACCCAAACAGAATCAGAAAACAAGAAAAAGGGATCAAGCATCTATCAAGGAGAATTAGGATTGTTTTTTGTTTTTTTTAGAATTACAAGAATAAAATCATAATATTAGCAAAATAGAGACATTACAAGAAAAAAATTTTTTAATGGGCAAAAAGCTGTGATATAGTTGTCAGGATCTGTCGTAAGTATAATTGTTTCAAAGTCCTGCTACTGATAACTGATGCTGATTTGTCAAAAGATTAAATATTTCCTTATCTGTAAAACTGATACCAAAATAAAACTTTACAAGGTTTAACTTTCCTCATTTAGTCGTCATAAAACCAGATATTTTCATAAAACCACTCTCTTGCAATAAATAAACTTTATCATTATTTAATATGTTTTTAGATTGTGTACTTCTATTTATTTGTATTTGTTACTTTTTAATTTTAATTTTTATTTTCTTTTGCATTTCTCCATTCTGTATTTCAAACGTTGTAATCTTCCCCTGGGACATAAGAGTTCTAATGATTGTTTTATTTATCATGATGCACAAACCTATTTATGTTTTTTGTATTGTGCATTATGATGGTGACTGTTTTTTGTAAAATCAATAAAAAAAAATTAAATAAAAAAAAACAGTTTTTCAGATATTTTCCGTCATCTGCAATTTTAAAAATTCATTTAAAATCAGAAATCAAGAACAATATTCTACTTTCGCTTAAATAATTTCATCTTGCACATAACCCCATGTGTTCCCTTCGTCTTCATACCGCTCAGACTTCAATTCAACATTTTCCATTGTGTTTTAATGATGCAGCCTAAACATTAATCTCGACTAATGAAGATCTCTTCTGACTCAAGGAGGGTAATTTTGTGTCAAATTCAAAGCCCTGATCCAACAAAATAGTAAGAAACTGCAGAAAGCAGCAGATGGTGTAATTTGACTTTGCTGAACCCAGCTAATGATGCACCTCAGTGTGAACGAGAGGCGACGTTATTTCCCCCCTTCTTGTGAGATATAATGTGCAGATTACACGCTCTGTGATCGTGTGTGTGCACACAATTACCTCAAGATGTTGACTTAGATCAACTTTCAACAGAGAAATATCTATAAACTGCTTCAGTTTTCTGCTAAAAAAACAAGATGTTTATTTCTGTGATTGTGCGTTTTAGAATAAAAGAGAACAAAAAAGAAGAAGGTAGAAAACAGGAAATGGGTCGAGACGGATGAAGACTGAGCGGATGAGGAAAGCGTGGGAGGAAGGACCTACAGGTGTGTAAGCACTCGGTGACGGTGGTGGCGTCGATCAGGTAGCCCTCACACAGGCGACATGTGATGTGGGCGTTGATGTGACACAGCTTTATCTTCCTCGTCAGCATGTCGGGGTTCTGGGGAGGAACAGGGACACAAAGAAACGGGCTGAAGATCAAAACAAGCATCACATGACGTCGGTGAGCTCTGCCACAACGACACAAAACACTGATGGCAATGAAGAAGATTAGATTACAATAATCACGTCTGTTACAGGGTATAGAGGAGGATCTGTGGTGCTGTGGGTCTGTTTCTCTTGAAAGAGTCATGAAAATCCTGTTAGAGTGCATGGAACCATGAGTTATTTCAAATGATTAATCGTATTAATCGATTATTCAAATAATCGTTAACTAATTTAGTAATCGATTAATCATTAACTGGAGCATACAGACATAAAGAACAACATATCCGGAGCAGCACCCTGTTCATAAAATGTATACATTTGACAATTAAGTAGAAAAAAAATCTGTAAATATGTNCATTTTGTTAAATTCACTATGTTGTTGCATTTCCGGCAACAAAATGTGTGTTTTCTTATTTACAAAATGAATTGAATTATCTATTTGCACATTTGAATGCATTTCCAATATTGCATAAAAAATCATTTAATGAAAAATCACCAGGATGTGCCAAGATATTTCATTTAATTAACTGACTAATCGGCAAAAATAATCGATTACTAAAATAATCGCTAGTTGCATCCCTGATATATATTTATCAAAACACATCTTGATGGTCCCAGAAACTTTTGATGAATCATTCTGTCGACATGCGATACAAAACCTGAACTTATTTGAAGGTGTTTGTCCC